GAGAGGATTAATAGGTTCTACACATGACTATGAGGACAAACATGAGTGAAACGGTCTCAATCCAAGGGAGGAACATCAAATGGACCTAATTTGGGAACCGGAAGAGGTAAGGAGTCCGAAATGTACCTCTGTGACTCCACATTGTGGAAACTCACTTGTAGTGTATAAGATGAACTAGATGGACCCATACTTACCCAAACATGGATTAATAGGTTCTACACATGACTATGAGGACAAACATGAGTGAAACGGTCTCAATCCAAGGGAGGAACATCAAATGGACCTAATTTGGGAACCGGAAGAGGTAAGGAGTCCGAAATGTACCTCTGTGACTCCACATTGTGGAAACTCACTTGTAGTGTATAAGATGAACTAGATGGACCCATACTTACCCAAACATGGATTAATAGGTTCTACACATGACTATGAGGACAAACATGAGTGAAACGGTCTCAATCCAAGGGAGGAACATCAAATGGACCTAATTTGGGAACCGGAAGAGGTAAGGAGTCCGAAATGTACCTCTGTGACTCCACATTGTGGAAACTCACTTGTAGTGTATAAGATGAACTAGATGGACCCATACTTACCCAAACATGGATTAATAGGTTCTACACATGACTATGAGGACAAACATGAGTGAAACGGTCTCAATCCAAGGGAGGAACATCAAATGGACCTAATTTGGGAACCGGAAGAGGTAAGGAGTCCGAAATGTACCTCTGTGACTCCACATTGTGGAAACTCACTTGTAGTGTATAAGATGAACTAGATGGACCCATACTTACCCAAACATGGATTAATAGGTTCTACACATGACTATGAGGACAAACATGAGTGAAACGGTCTCAATCCAAGGGAGGAACATCAAATGGACCTAATTTGGGAACCGGAAGAGGTAAGGAGTCCGAAATGTACCTCTGTGACTCCACATTGTGGAAACTCACTTGTAGTGTATAAGATGAACTAGATGGACCCATACTTACCCAAACATGGATTAATAGGTTCTACACATGACTATGAGGACAAACATGAGTGAAACGGTCTCAATCCAAGGGAGGAACATCAAATGGACCTAATTTGGGAACCGGAAGAGGTAAGGAGTCCGAAATGTACCTCTGTGACTCCACATTGTGGAAACTCACTTGTAGTGTATAAGATGAACTAGATGGACCCATACTTACCCAAACATGGATTAATAGGTTCTACACATGACTATGAGGACAAACATGAGTGAAACGGTCTCAATCCAAGGGAGGAACATCAAATGGACCTAATTTGGGAACCGGAAGAGGTAAGGAGTCCGAAATGTACCTCTGTGACTCCACATTGTGGAAACTCACTTGTAGTGTATAAGATGAACTAGATGGACCCATACTTACCCAAACATGGATTAATAGGTTCTACACATGACTATGAGGACAAACATGAGTGAAACGGTCTCAATCCAAGGGAGGAACATCAAATGGACCTAATTTGGGAACCGGAAGAGGTAAGGAGTCCGAAATGTACCTCTGTGACTCCACATTGTGGAAACTCACTTGTAGTGTATAAGATGAACTAGATGGACCCATACTTACCCAAACATGGATTAATAGGTTCTACACATGACTATGAGGACAAACATGAGTGAAACGGTCTCAATCCAAGGGAGGAACATCAAATGGACCTAATTTGGGAACCGGAAGAGGTAAGGAGTCCGAAATGTACCTCTGTGACTCCACATTGTGGAAACTCACTTGTAGTGTATAAGATGAACTAGATGGACCCATACTTACCCAAACATGGATTAATAGGTTCTACACATGACTATGAGGACAAACATGAGTGAAACGGTCTCAATCCAAGGGAGGAACATCAAATGGACCTAATTTGGGAACCGGAAGAGGTAAGGAGTCCGAAATGTACCTCTGTGACTCCACATTGTGGAAACTCACTTGTAGTGTATAAGATGAACTAGATGGACCCATACTTACCCAAACATGGATTAATAGGTTCTACACATGACTATGAGGACAAACATGAGTGAAACGGTCTCAATCCAAGGGAGGAACATCAAATGGACCTAATTTGGGAACCGGAAGAGGTAAGGAGTCCGAAATGTACCTCTGTGACTCCACATTGTGGAAACTCACTTGTAGTGTATAAGATGAACTAGATGGACCCATACTTACCCAAACATGGATTAATAGGTTCTACACATGACTATGAGGACAAACATGAGTGAAACGGTCTCAATCCAAGGGAGGAACATCAAATGGACCTAATTTGGGAACCGGAAGAGGTAAGGAGTCCGAAATGTACCTCTGTGACTCCACATTGTGGAAACTCACTTGTAGTGTATAAGATGAACTAGATGGACCCATACTTACCCAAACATGGATTAATAGGTTCTACACATGACTATGAGGACAAACATGAGTGAAACGGTCTCAATCCAAGGGAGGAACATCAAATGGACCTAATTTGGGAACCGGAAGAGGTAAGGAGTCCGAAATGTACCTCTGTGACTCCACATTGTGGAAACTCACTTGTAGTGTATAAGATGAACTAGATGGACCCATACTTACCCAAACATGGATTAATAGGTTCTACACATGACTATGAGGACAAACATGAGTGAAACGGTCTCAATCCAAGGGAGGAACATCAAATGGACCTAATTTGGGAACCGGAAGAGGTAAGGAGTCCGAAATGTACCTCTGTGACTCCACATTGTGGAAACTCACTTGTAGTGTATAAGATGAACTAGATGGACCCATACTTACCCAAACATGGATTAATAGGTTCTACACATGACTATGAGGACAAACATGAGTGAAACGGTCTCAATCCAAGGGAGGAACATCAAATGGACCTAATTTGGGAACCGGAAGAGGTAAGGAGTCCGAAATGTACCTCTGTGACTCCACATTGTGGAAACTCACTTGTAGTGTATAAGATGAACTAGATGGACCCATACTTACCCAAACATGGATTAATAGGTTCTACACATGACTATGAGGACAAACATGAGTGAAACGGTCTCAATCCAAGGGAGGAACATCAAATGGACCTAATTTGGGAACCGGAAGAGGTAAGGAGTCCGAAATGTACCTCTGTGACTCCACATTGTGGAAACTCACTTGTAGTGTATAAGATGAACTAGATGGACCCATACTTACCCAAACATGGATTAATAGGTTCTACACATGACTATGAGGACAAACATGAGTGAAACGGTCTCAATCCAAGGGAGGAACATCAAATGGACCTAATTTGGGAACCGGAAGAGGTAAGGAGTCCGAAATGTACCTCTGTGACTCCACATTGTGGAAACTCACTTGTAGTGTATAAGATGAACTAGATGGACCCATACTTACCCAAACATGGATTAATAGGTTCTACACATGACTATGAGGACAAACATGAGTGAAACGGTCTCAATCCAAGGGAGGAACATCAAATGGACCTAATTTGGGAACCGGAAGAGGTAAGGAGTCCGAAATGTACCTCTGTGACTCCACATTGTGGAAACTCACTTGTAGTGTATAAGATGAACTAGATGGACCCATACTTACCCAAACATGGATTAATAGGTTCTACACATGACTATGAGGACAAACATGAGTGAAACGGTCTCAATCCAAGGGAGGAACATCAAATGGACCTAATTTGGGAACCGGAAGAGGTAAGGAGTCCGAAATGTACCTCTGTGACTCCACATTGTGGAAACTCACTTGTAGTGTATAAGATGAACTAGATGGACCCATACTTACCCAAACATGGATTAATAGGTTCTACACATGACTATGAGGACAAACATGAGTGAAACGGTCTCAATCCAAGGGAGGAACATCAAATGGACCTAATTTGGGAACCGGAAGAGGTAAGGAGTCCGAAATGTACCTCTGTGACTCCACATTGTGGAAACTCACTTGTAGTGTATAAGATGAACTAGATGGACCCATACTTACCCAAACATGGATTAATAGGTTCTACACATGACTATGAGGACAAACATGAGTGAAACGGTCTCAATCCAAGGGAGGAACATCAAATGGACCTAATTTGGGAACCGGAAGAGGTAAGGAGTCCGAAATGTACCTCTGTGACTCCACATTGTGGAAACTCACTTGTAGTGTATAAGATGAACTAGATGGACCCATACTTATCCAAACATGGATTAATAGGTTCTACACATGACTATGAGGACAAACATGAGTGAAACGGTCTCAATCCAAGGGAGGAACATCAAATGGACCTAATTTGGGAACCGGAAGAGGTAAGGAGTCCGAAATGTACCTCTGTGACTCCACATTGTGGAAACTCACTTGTAGTGTATAAGATGAACTAGCGATCTGACTCACTGGCTGAGCCGCTACTGGCTGAACCGAAGCCACCGACATACTCCGCAACTTAGGACACATGGGCTTGATATGCCCAGGCTCCTTGCAGTAGTAGCACACTCTCGGTGCTGACTCTCTTGGGACAACTCAAAACACGATGCTCCGTGCTCCCACACCCAAAACAGGAACCACGAGGAAACTGACTAGCACCAGAAAACTCCTCTCTACTCCTCTTCTGACCCTGCGCAGGCAAACCGCCCCTGCCAGAACCAGAACTGAAACTCGAACCACCTCTGCGCTGCTGCTGCTGCTGCTGTCGCGGCTGCTGATGCTGACCCCGAGGCTGGGTAGCAGAAGCAACTGCTGACGGCACAGCCACCGGACCAACTGGCCCACCAAGATCCGCCTCAACCGACGCGGCCAACTCTACCAGACTCGCCCTCGAAGTGTGCATACTACTCCTGCATAGAGTCCGAATATCCTTGCGAAGTCCCTCCAGAAATCTGTTCGTCAACTGATGCTCAGACTCCATACCAAAGCCCGCATGCACTAACAGACGGCTGAACTCCTCATCATACTCGCGTACAGAACGCGAACCCTGCTCAATGCCCATAAACCGCATCTGAAGACGATCACGAGCCTGCCTCGGGAAATACTTGGCGTTGAACTCCACAAGGAAGTCGCCCCAAGTCCAAAATGCCCTCCGGCCCACCGCGGCCTGCCACCACAAATGAGCATCGCCACTCAAATAGTGGACCGCTAACTCCACCCAGTACTCATCGGACAACGGATCGAATGAAAGTTCCGCTCCACTCTCTGACGCCACGCGTCTGCCTCCTCTGGACCAACTCTACCCTCGAAGAAAGGCGTACCAATCCTCTGCATGTGGCCCATAAACTCCAAATAACGGTCACACCCGCACCCACAGCCTCCGGCTGCGCAACGCCTGCAGCAACATGCTGCACCTCTGCCACTGGAGGTACTCCCGGAGCCCCCTGTGGAACCACTGGCGGAAAACGAGCCAACAGCTGCGTCAGCAAACCCACCACTAAGTCATCAAGACCCTGAGCCGGAGCGCCACCCCCACCCGGAGCAGCCCCCGCTCCCAAACCAACACTCGCACTGGCTCACCGCCAACGGATACTGACTGGGTCACCGACGCAGTATGCCACACTCGGTGCCCACTCTCTCCCGAATCCGCCGGAAGTCCACGACCACGACCTCGGCCCCGGCCTCCAGCTCTACCACCAGCTCTGCCGCCACGGCCCTCTGCCGCCACGCCTCTAGCACCGCGCCCTCTCGCGCCACGACCTCTAGGAGCTCCGTCCATCTCACTCATGGAACCGAAATGAGCAACTAGACAATAACACAAAACACAAACACCATAAACTCACCGCGGAATCTCCTTGTAGCTGAAGGGGATGATACTAAGCCTAGCAATTCTAACAGTCCTAAAACCGTCTAGGCTCTGATACCAAAATGAAACAACCAACATTTTTTTTTTTTTAATAAATATTAATCAATTCTAGCGAAGGTCTTAAAAAAAATTAAATAAATAAAATATCAATAACAAATAAATCAGCTCAGCGGAAGCAAATAATAATTAAACAAGTCTAGCAAAATAATGCAAAACAATAAAACAGTAAACATCCTATCATCCCCCTCTTCAGCCTTGATTCCGCGATCACACAAATCTTTTACCTGCAACACATTGGAATGGAGTTGCGTAAGTATTTAATAAATACTTAGTGAGGCAATCACTCTGCCTACGAGCCATTTACGCAATTTACTAGATATTTAATAATATTTATAAACTTCAATAATTATTAAATACCATTTTCCAATTATTAAATAATTTTTAATAATTAAAACTCAATTTCTCAATTATTAAATAATTCTCATAATTAAATAATAATTTTCCATATTTTAAAATAATTAAAATAATTATTTTAAACCAATTAATTAAATAAATATTATTTAATTAATTAAATCCGAATTAAATCTATTTAATTCCATTAAACCAATTAAATTCAATTAAACCAATATAAACCAATTAAATTCAATTGAACCAAGATAAACCAGAATCAAATCAATTAAATTCAATTAAACCAATAAACCAGATTAAACCACACAAACACACAATTCATCACATGAACAACCAAAATATCATGAAATAACAATTAAAACATAAACTCATCAAGAACAACCACAAACCAAATCTAATCTAGCAAATCACGGACCCACAGTCATGCACTCACCTTGACAATTGATTGAAACTGAAGGAAAAAGGAAGACAATGAACAGTGCCGAATCGCGGATGAACAGTAACCCGTACCGATGAACAGTACCCGTGAACAGTGATGAACAGTAACCCGTGAACAGTACCGATGAACAGTAGATGAACAGTCCGATGAACAGTAAAATTCGAAAATCTCTCCAAAAACTCAACTTTTCTCCTCTACAGCATCTGAACTCGAAAATTCTCCAAAGAGAAGACGGCTGCACTCTTTAAACTTGATTTTAGGGCTTTCTCCACTAAACCGACCCAAACCAATTCACTTAAATTGAACCGACAAAATTCCCAATTTTTATTTTTGGTTTATGGATGTTACACAAGAAGAAATAAAAACACGAGTAGAATAAAAGAAGACGGTGGAAAAGAACTTTTCAACCGTCTTCATCTAGATGAGAAACTTCGAGAAGAAGAAGAAAACTCAAGAGAAAAAATAAAACAAAGAAGAAGAAATGTAATGTGAAGAGAAAAAAAAGACAAATAAGAAAGAAATAAAAACTAGAATAAGATGATGTCAGAAAAGACGAAGATGATAAAGATAGAGAGAGGGGAATGAGGAAGAAAAAAAAAGAATAGTAAGTTGGAGGATATGAAGACACAAGAAATGATTGAAGAACGAAATTTGAAAAAGAAGAAGCGGGAAAAAAAAGATGATGACAACGAATAAATAAATGGAAGAAAAAATAAAAGATGGGATCAGTGAAAAAGAATAAGAGGGAGAAGAAAATGACCATTACAAAATTTAACTAATTTTTTTTTCTAGATCTTTCACAGTTTATAAGTTCATATCAAATTAACAAAATGTTAAGCTATTAATTCTTTGGAAAATAAACACATTACAAAAATATGAAAAGTAATTAAAAAGAAAATGCGTTCATCTAATATTAATTGAAAGGATTTGGAATTCTAAAACATCTATTGCACGCGCAGGCGCGCGGGCCAACCACCTAGTACTTAGTTTTTACTCCCTTTATCCCATACTCTTAAGTAACTTTAGCTATAACACACAATATTGAGATTTTGTTTCTACTTTTTATGTTTATTAGGATAAATTATAGACACTTAATTAAAAGAAGAAGAAGAAAAACAGCAAAAGTGACATTAATATTATGAAAATTACATTTTCTTTTTTGGTTTTGCATGTTTTAAACTAAAACAAGATTTTTTTAGCATTGAAATCTACAATTACTCGATTTAAACCGGATTTAAAAATTACTCGAGCCGGCTGGGTTCTGGTTTTTGCCGGTTTTTTTACCAGTTTTCTTGGGTCAATTGCAATTACGATTTTTCATTAAACTCAAACCGGGATGGCCACCGGTTCCCGGTTAAACCGGATCGACAGCCCGGTCTGCTTACATTATGGGATATATAGAGGGTGTATTATTTTCTTTTGGATCTTCGAACACTAATTGTTTTTTTTTACTGGAAAATCTTTTTTGATTTTAATTTCGGGTATTTGATTATTTTGTAAATTCTAAAGTTTGATTTTGATTTCAATGACTAGTTAAAATTAAAGATTTTAAAGTGGTTTAGGTCAAGAATAAGTTGGAGTAATAATTAGGAATTGTTTTAAATAAAGATATCTTTGTTGTCAGATTAATCAAAAACTGATTGAGCTACTGATGTAAAAACAAGTTGAATATGGCTAACTCTTACGCTCAAATAATGAGTGGCCCGCCAACTCTTTTAGTTATCACAATTCGTAAATTATCGTGTTTTTTTAACTAAACTGACAACCTAAAATCTCTAATTAGTTTAAGTCTAGGATGAGATCATTTGTGAGGGTTTTTTCATGATGGATAAGTTTTGGAAATAAGAAATGTTTTTTGGTATTTGGTTATTTTTTAAGTTCTAAAGTTTTATTTTTAATTTTTCAATTAAAGATAGAAAAGAGCTTTAGGTCAAGACTAAGTTGGAATATTAATTAGGAATTTTTTTAGTTAGAGATATTTTTGTTGCTAGATTAATCAGAAACCGATTGACTTACTCATGCAAAAACAAGTTGAATATGGCTGACTCTTACGCTCAAATAATGAGTGGCCCGCCAACCCTTTTAGTTTTCATAATTCGTAAATTATCGAGTTTTCTCTAACTAAACTGACAACTTAAATCTCTAATTGGTTTAAGTTTAGGATAAGATAACTTGGGAGAGGTTAATAAATCATGAATAAGTTTTGGAAATAAGAAATGTTATTTGGTATTTGATTATTTTGTAAGTTCTAAAGTTATGACTAATTCAAATAAAGATTTGAAAGAGGTTTAGGTCAATAATAAGTTGGAGTATTACTTAGGAATTATGTTAATTAGAGATATTTTTGTTGCCAGATTAATCAGAAACCGATTGACTTACTCATGCAAAAACAAGTTGAATATGGCTGACTCTTACGCTCAAATAATGAGTGGCCCGCCAACTCTTTTAGTTTTCACAATTCGTAAATTATCGATTTTTCTCTAACTAAACTGACAACTTAAAATCTCTAATTGGTTTAAGTTTAGGATAAGATAACTTGGGAGAGGTTAGTTTATCATGAATAAGTTTTGGAAATAAGAAATGTTATTTGGTATTTGATTATTTTGTAAATACTAAAGTTATGACTAATTTCAAGTAAAGATTTAAAAGAGGTTTAGGTAATAAGTTGGGGTATTACGTACTTAGGAATTTTGTTAATTAGAGATATTTTAGTTGTCAGATTAATCAAAAACCGATTGACTTACTCATGCAAAAACAAGTTGAATATGGTTGACTCTTACGCTCAAATAATGAGTGGCCCGCCAACTCTTTTAGTTCTCACAATTCGTAAATTATCAAGTTTTTTTAACTAAACTGGCAACTTAAAATCTCTAATTGGCTTAAGTCTAGGATGAGGTAATTTTTGAATTAAGTTTTGGATATAAAAAGAAGTTGTTTTTGGGTATTTGATTATTTTGTTAGTTCTAAAGTTTTAATTTTCAGAGAATAATTAATATAGGTTTTCAAGAATTATAGAAAGTTAAAGAAATAGAAAGAAACTAACCTTTTGTAACATTCCAGTTACGGAAAAAGAGGTGAAGAAGCATTGACAAAGGAGGCATCATCAATTCATCATCACCTGAAATATCAAGAAAGTACCTTTGCTAATGATTAGTTACGTCTTTATACACTTAATGATCTTAAACTTATGATCAAAATCCTTAACCATATCTGTTGCAATACACAAGAAAGTTTTCCTTTAGATTCTTTCAACTTCATATTCTCAAGATCCTTGACCTGCATGCATCATTTTAAGCGAAGTTTTTTTTTTTTTTTTTTTTTTAAGCGAAGTTTGGTAACCCTCAACAGAACATTCTGAGATTTTAATGGAACACTAACAACCAATAATGATCTATGTTAAGTTTCCTTAGCATCCAACCTAAAACCAATTGGCAATAGGTGGAGTGGCCTCAGTCCCTTATATATCGCTCCAGGTCCCTTCCCACTTCCGATGTGGGACTTTATTTGCACACTCTCTAGAGATTAAGGCCTTTCTGGCCCATTAACCTCTACATATCTCAATACCCTCCCTCGAGATAATGGCCATTCTAGCCATTAATCTCGCATACCTCAATCCTTGGGTCGGGGGGTCAGGCCCTTTCTGGGCCGGGTTGTGAGAGTGTGCGGATCAAAGCTCTGGTACCATGTTAAGTTTCCTTGGCATCCAACCTAAAACCAATTGGCAATAGGTGGAGTGGCCTCAGTCCCTTATATATCGCTCCAGGTCCCTTCCCACTTCCGATGTGGGACTTTATTTGCACACTCTCTAGAGATTAAGGCCTTTCTGGCCCATTAACCTCTACATATCTCAATAATCTATCAAAACCTTCTAATGGCAAGAACACATCTGTAGCTACTAGCCAGTAACTAAAGCTCTCTCGCAACTGTCCAAACGCAAATCTTTCAAGTTTATAAACGAAACTTAGAAAAAGATTGAATCTTTCTAAATTCCTATCACACACTAGAAACAAGGAAGATGGATTATATACCTGTACAAGCTATGAGGAATCTCCAAGACAACGAACCTCTCACACGT